GTAGGGCTTGTTGTTTGTCGTTTCTCCGATCACAAATGCAGACATGGTTTTATGTTTACGCAGCGCGATGCAATGCAACGCGTAAAAAGACAGTATAAGTCATTATAATCCATAATTATGTCCCCACTGGATGCAACGAATGCCTCGTTTGTAATGGGTTTTCATGTTTTTGTCTCGTAGCTCCGGCCAGGACACGGCGTATGGTAGTATGGTAGGGGCGTAACATTTCCGTCTCACGCTTGAGGTATTCGGCCAATCACAGCACACCTCGCTTTTCAGACCGATGAGCTTTGTAAAAATCGACGCGTTTCAGAAAGCCGGGGCATAGAGGAGAAACAATAATGTACAGTATGTGGAAAATAATGTGTTTTTTGAACCTTAAACCGCATGAACACATTTCATTACACCAAATACACAAAATAATGTTCCTTTTAGCAGCATCATATGACCCCTTTAAGAATGTGTGTCCTGTCATCCCTGTTACTCTGGTCAGTCCTGTTACTATGATGTCGATCCTGTTACTGTCATTAATTTCATAAAAATTTTAAAAAATATATTTGATACAGCCTTCCAGGTTTTTCCATTGTAATATTAACTATATATTTTTTAGACAAAGCCCTTTTTTAACATCTCTCTTTTAAAAAAATAAATAAAATTTTCTTAACTGACATGTGGTCACCCTCAAAAATTAGGATGTTCTTGGTCATCTGAATGACAAATATAAAATGTTTATATTTTTTTAATAAATAATTTGAAACAATTCCAGTGAAAATAGGGACTAAAATGCTGCTCATGTATGTGAAAACTATCCCATAGTTCTAATTAACGCTTGTGTCGGTAACAGGGTTGACAAAAATACCAAAAGATGAGGTAGAAAAATAGTCATAAAATAATAAATTACATAGCCTGAGATGGCACAATACAATTTCTTGTCATTTTAAGGTGTCTTCATTTCATGGATATTTAAAAAATGTTGATTAAACTTATTTTATTTTACAATTTTTCTTAGTGGGAAAAGGCACCGATTTCATGGAATGACCCTTTTTTATTATGTTGTGGTCCACAGAGAAAGAACAATTATTTATATGTTATATAATTAGATTAAATTATATATACTCTCTACGTTTTCAATTTGTATCTTATTCTTATTTTCCTGTCATATAAACTTCCATTCAAAAGTTTAAGATTTTTAATGTTTTTAAAGAAGTTTCTTCTGCTCATCAAGGCTGCATTTATTTGATCAAAAATACAGTAAAAACAGTAATATTGTGAAATACTATTACAGTTTGAGATAACGGTTTTCTATTATAAAATACTTTAAAATATAATTTATTTCTGTGATCAAAGCTGAATTTTCAGCATCATTACGCCAGACTTCAGTGTCACATGATCTTCAGAAATCATTCTAATATGCCGATTTATTAGGTTTTAATTATACTGTATATTATTGTTTTTTCCCCATTTTTAAATATAAGCTAGTTAAAATCGTTTAAAAATCTATGATTGCAGTAAGTCAACACTGCATAAAACATTACGACTTTCAAAGAATATATCTTAAATATGATATTTTATCACTTGTTTTAAGTATAAACTAGTTAAAAAGTTAAAATCTTTGATTGCATGAAGAAAACACTGCATAAGTTATTTAAAACATTAATATATCTTTAATGGGAGATGGTTTTCAAAGCAAAAACAGGTAAATTCAAGATATAATGAAAAAGATGTAATGGAAAAAAAAGTCTTGTTGTCTTGTTTTAAATATTTTTAGATGTTTTAATTGGAAAACAAGAACAAATTTTTTTTTT